CCTTCGTCTTCTTTGCAGCCTTCACGTCGGGAGCAGTCGACATGGACTGGCGCACAAGGGAGGCGATGACACTGATGCCTCGCTTCCTTAGCTCTTCGGCGAGTGGCCCTCACCAGCATGAGCCCATCCATGGTTATCAGTGTATCCAGGCATACGTGGTGGCCTTGCGCGGCACTTACACATAACGACGTAGCATACAATACGTTCAAGCACAAGAATGAGAACTTGCCTACACGTGTGTCGAATATAGTGCATGCATATGGGCAAGCAAGCTTCAAGTCATGTGCCATGTATGTGTATGCACTTGCACTGCATTGCACGCTTGTGTTTGTTGTTTTTGTTTGTTTGTTGTATGTATGTGTATATATATATACATATATATATATTTATTTATTTGTTTATTTATATATATATATATATGTATATGTGTGTGTGTGTGTTTGTGTTGTGTTCGTGCCTGTTATTTCGTGTTCGCATCTTGTACTATTGTTGCGACGAACAAGATCTCCATTTATCTGACCATGTGCCGAGCTTCAGCTGCTGAACGTCCTCCAAGCGGGTTTTGGCTGCGAGGTCTGGTGCTCCAGCAAACTCCTCCATCCTGGACGACGGCTTTGAGTTCAGGAGTCCGGGTGGCTATGTTAGGACTACGGATTGATGGTGTGGGGTATAGTTGACAGTGTGTCAATGCTAAGCCCGGATTCCGAGGGGCTGCGGTCGGCGGTCGAAGGTTTGGGATGAACACAGCTTGTGGCATGGAGCCGTAGATGCACAGGAGCCTGTGCCAGACACGATGCCTAAAGATAGGCTCTTCATTGCAGCAGGAGTGCTCTCCAACACGTCATGCCTACTAAACCCAAGGTCTTCACAGGTTAGGAAGCCGACGTGGGGAAAAATGCCCCTAAACACCCCCGAAACTCTGAGCACCCCAAACTCTGCAGCAACTCCTTGTGACACTTTAGGGATATTCTCTGAAGACAAGCCATGGTTCGGTAAGGGTGCAGGGCGCAGGGCACCCTGATCCCTAAATTTTTGAAGACAAAGAGGCCACCTACTGGAAGCAACACCCCGAATGCTGAACACTGAACCTAAACCCTAACCTTGGAAGACAAGTGGCCACCGGCTGGCCATGTTGCAGGAGTGGCGTCTGCTTCACTCCAGGCTTCTTGTAGGTGCTCTCTTGCTCGGGCCAGTGCTTCGCTGGAACCAAGAGGCCGCAGTTTAGTTTAGGGTTTAGGGTTGAGGGGTTTGGGGGTGTTTTAGAGTTTTGGTGTTAAGGGCCTGTGGGTTAGGGATTTAGAGTTTCGGGTTCTAGGAATTCCGCGCTTTAGGGGTGCTAAAGGGTTTAAGCTTCCACGAAGGCGTCAACCCTTTTCTAATTCAGGGGGTCTAGACCTTATAGGGCCCTAGTGACGAACAAAGTTGTCATGTGGAGCCCTGCAAAGAGGTCTTGGTAACTCGTCATGCCCTTGCATCCGGTTTTAGGGCTTGGGGTTTAGATTAGAGGGCCCTATGAGTTCCCAGTTCACCCACCGTGTGTTGATATGTTGAAAGGCAGCATGCAGAAACCCTTGGCCCGACACCGTTACCCCCCACCCCAGACCCTATACGTCCCAGACCTTCCCATATCCCTTAACTAAGGGATAGGCCTTAAATCACTCATACTATAATTACTATAACCTGAAGTATATTCCTCCTTTTAGGGGTTATTGAAAGGGCTATGATCCTAAGCGAAAACCCAAATGAAGAAACACGAAGCTCTGAAGCCCCACGAAGCCTAAAGGAGCAATCGTTTGCGATGCTATCGTCCACGAGAAGGCTTAGGGCTTAGGGTTTCAGGGATTGGGTGCTTCAGTGAAAAGAGTTAATGCAATGCTTGGAGAAAAAACAAAGCAGTCAGCCCACATGGCGGGAATGACGCGGCGACTGACAAAATAGACGAGCTACGTCAAAACATCTAACAGTTTCGGGTAGTTCCCCTCGACCGGTAGCGGTCTGCATGAACCATTACAAACAATGGTCCCTTCTGGTCCCTGTGTAATATAGCACAACGTACCCCAAACACCGTTCCAACTATTATAGGTTACTGATAGCCGCCTTATTGGGGCTTTTGGCTTCTGGCATCGATATAAAGGTCCGTTCCTCTTTTCTCCTTCTCCCCCTAGATAAATGCAGACTGTACACCAGAATCGCACCAAAGAGCACTACAGGAGCATTTGTATCCCACGCGTGCCCAAGTACCGCAAGCGAAAGTCTGCACACCTGAACTGAGCCAACCTTGGTGAAAGTCACTGGTCCTAACTCCCAAATCTCAAAACTGAGCTAACTTGGGCTGGGATGCTTGTGTGATTCCGGCTTTGATTGAGACCCCTTATGTGAAGGCAAGTGGCCTAGCCTTTACATGGAACGTCAAGGAACACAATGGGTGGCGTGGGCGCGAGCATTTCTGCTCAAATGGCGTGGGACGGCAAAAAAGCCTATTGAATGGTTCATGACCCGGGTCCCACGGTGCTTTAGGGACAGAAATCCAAATCGTTTAGCAGGGATAGAAACAGACTGTGGGCCTGATGCTTGCAATTGTTCCAGTGTAGGGACCGCCCTTGGTCACAAAGTTTGGATCAGAAGACATCGCAACTTTTCTTCGCGGGCTTAGATGAGATTCACTCTACATCGGCGGCCTTTCGACCTACCTGGAAACATCACTCGGATCGGATCGGATCGGATCGGAGGTGAAATCGGCGGAGCTCGCGACAGAAACGCTTGGTTGCACACATTTAGGTCGTCACGATTCCACATCAAAGTCTGGACGACGCTGACCCACAATTGTTTAGGAGTACCCCGGAGTACCCCTACAATGAAGCCTGAAAGCCCTAAAGCCCAAGCAGGAACTTCTTAAGCCGAAGTAGCAATGACGTATCCTGTTCTGCCTGACAAGTCCGGCATCTAGTGCTGCCCCACTCTGATCCCGATAGGGCCCTCAGGCCCCCATCAGTAGGACACCTGAGTAGTCTTGCTAAACCCTAAACCCTAAACCCTAGTGGCCCTTGACGAGGAGATCTGGGTTCTGACAGCGTCCCCACGTTGGCTTTCGGATTACGAGATGAGACTTTGGGGCGATTTCGCTAAGACACTGAAGTTGCACCAGAACCCTGCACGGTGCTAGAAAATTGCGTATGCGTTGCAGGGGCAGGGCGTAGGATGAAATGTAGGGGTTTGTAATAAACGCTTTACCAAACATTCCAGCAAGTAGACCCATTGACTTGCTCAGTTCAAACTCAGAAAGCAGACGCCAGTAAGACATGGTTCCAGGGCCTCGTAAATGCAGGGGCCGAAACATTCAACAAGGCCGAGTTTTGAGATTTGTGATAACAAAATAAGGAGAATGCTAAGGAACCCAAAGGAAAAGTATCACTAAGTGTTCCGGCTTCTAAATCAGGTTGATTTTGTTTTGAAAGGTTCTTCGTCGTTGAACCCTTGCCGCTCCATGGCCGACGCCCGCTCCTGCACGACGGTCTATCCAAAAGACTCCAAGAGCTCAAAGTAACTAGGTACTATTTGCAGACTTAAAGATCCCGAAGTAGGAACCATTCCTCCGTAACCGAATATATAGCTCACATAGACTTGTATACTTGGAGTCTTAGGGTACCCAAAACCTTCAACCCGAAACCCTAAACCCTTTTTGCAGCAGGCTTGCGTAGTCTCGCCTGGACACACTGAACCGCTCGTCTTCACCATTAGCGCAGTAAGCTCAGCATGTGGAAATGACAAACCTTCAACCCTAAGCTTGGAATCCTACTGTTGATGATATAAATCCTGCATTACCTTAAGGACCCTGAACTATGGGAATTCTGGCATATTCCTTATTATGGGTAATGCAGGGATTTTGATCATCAACCATAGGCCCTAAGCTCGGAATCCTAGGCTGAACTTGGAGCTCCCTAGGCCCTAGGAGTCAAAGTCCAAATGGCCACCGATACCGGACCCTTAGGCTGCATGTACCTGCTACTGTCTGTTGTAGATAGTCTACTTAAGCCTGACAGGGGCTTCTATATAGGTGCTTTATGGCCTATATATACTATATCGGTACATGGAGCCTTCAGGAGAGTCAAAAGAAGACCAACTGCCGCCGCAACATGGCAAGCGCAAGCACACAGAGCCTCCTCAATGCGCCCAAGTATCCAGATGCATACATACATAAATACATCTACATGAGCCCTAAACCTAAACTGTCACAGGCCAGTGTGGAGAAAAGCAGCATCATGCTCCCTCTCATCTGCGGTCTTGTCGGGGCCGCTCGTAGGCGGCAGGGAGGTTTCAGGCAACCTCCGGAAATGCATCAGCAGGAGAATAAACATCAGAGACATCGTGTCAATAGCAACGTAGTGAGAATGTCAGCAACAGAAAATGCTCGAACAAAATGTTGAGGGTGGTAGAAATGTTTGCAATCTGAAACCCGAAAGAACGCGAGGAGCGAACCTGAACAAATCCTTCTTCCCTTCTAGGTCTAGCCTTCCTCCTAAATCCCACAGTGTCGACGTCAAGGGCGAACGGTCTTCGGCTTAGTCCAGGATGTTTTGGCAGTCTTACAGGCAAAACAAGACATGAGATGCACGTACCTCGCCAAAGCCCTTTGTGCTCAGGAAATCGAATCAGAATACATAGCTTTCGAAGGTCCAGATGCCACAAGTCCTCAATATCCTCAACAATCCACATCTCGCAAAACATTGGTTCGATCCCAAACAGGCTCAACCTAACTTATCCCAGAGGCTCCCATCTGCATATTGGGATTCTTTACATGCTCTGAAGGCGTACATGTCCTAATGGTGCCTGATAAGGGCAACCTACTTTGGACCACAAGAGTAGGTATTTAAGGAACCCTAGGACGACCACGAGAGTACATGCTTCAGGAACCCTAAGACGGCTATAGAACCTCAGACCCCGAAGAACCCCAGAGGTAGATAGGATGCTTTGGACAATTGGAAAACCTCTCTTGCGACGGCCTGGCGTGCTGCATAGGGTCGCCTGCCAATCTGAAGATTTACTTCGTCGCCACGGATTTATGGTTGAGAAAGCTTCGTGTACGGCTTAGCAATTACCCATAGGCTCCTAAGTAGTTCCTTTTTATGGTTCATATTTAGAATCCTTTCAGGAAATCCCAAAAAGGAACTACTAAGGAGCCTATGGGTAAATATTGGGGATTGAGCCTGCTCCGCTCTCGACCAAACTTGGAATTTTTCAGCGCTTCAGGGCTCTGATTTCAAGGTTTAGGGGTTTAGGGCTTAAGGGGTTTAGGGGTTTAGGGTTTAGGGTTACCCGTAAACCCTTTTAGAACAGGCTTGATTGGAGCTCGCCCGGCCATATCCCCTCGCTGCAGCGCGTCGCACTCGTGGCAAAAAAAAACTAGACCCCGCTTTAAGTGCCAAACCCTAAACCCTAAACCCCAAAACCCTAAACCCTAGCCCTATGAGCTTCAAGTCGGGAGCTTGTCGGAGTTCGCAGGCTGAACATAGGGGCCTCAATTATTAGAGTCATTGGAGGAGGGCTTTAGGGTATATCACATTCTTAGTTCAAGTGAGGAACCCCAACAAGTAACATTGCTAAATGATTCCGGCGCTGATGTTAAGTTTGTTTTGTTCGGGATGCTGAGTAAGGTTTGGGGTCTTGGCACCTCTTGGCCCGCAGGAACGACGGGTTTGTAGAGGTGGCGACAGATTTAGAGTTTAAGAGTTTCAAGGAGACGTGAGGGCTTTGATGTTGGAGGCCAGAGCATTGGAGTTCAAGGGTGAGAACTGGGTTGGGAGATGAGGGCTGCAGGGGGCCGAGGGTTAGGCTAAGGCGTACCACACGGGCCATATCGTTTTGGAATAGGGCTTGGAGGTTTATTATGCCTTAACTTCCTACACAAGAATTATAACCAGGCACCCTGTGGGTCAAGATATCCGGCTTGGGAGGATTGAGCTTGTAAGGAAGGGGCACTGAGCTGATCCAAGCCTACCCTTTGGGTTTATAGCTTCGTCTCTCACACTCGTGTTCGGCAGGCAAGGCTCCACACGGTTTAGGGCTTAAGGGTGTGGGGTCTAGGACCCTTTTTTGAACCCAGACTCTGCCAATCAGCCCTAAACCCTAAATCCCTAAACCCATGTAAGGTGATGGACGAATGGGTTTGGGGGACTCAGGGTTTCAGGCGGCGCAGCACCAGGCATTTGAGGCTATCCATTCTCGTCTTAGAAACAGTCTAGGGTTTAGGGTTTAGGGCTTATAAGGACTGACTCCGACGACCGACCGCTTGAAGATGCCAGTCTTGAGCTATACACACCCCCGCCCTGGCATCTACTTTTACTGGGTTGCTGTCAAGGAACTTAATCAAAGTTACTATAAGAAGGAAGCCCTGTCAAATACTACACAGCGCCAAGTATGGCAGCTTAGGCTAAGTTCCTGAACAACCCAGTTTAGTGCCCCAAGCTTCGCCAGCTGTCGGTGGTTCGGACACCAAGGCGGCTCAAGGGCACCGCCAAGCCCGAAGGCTCTGAGGACTCATATACATTAAGGCCCTTGGGCCCAAGACCATACTATATTGGGCTATTTTGAGCCAAAGGGAACAGAGGCTGCTCTTCGCCAGTATCCAAAGGATGCTGTATTTCAACAAAAGTCGTCTTTGCATAGACCCGAAGGCTTGGGCCTCACCTGCGTGCCACTCCCAGCGCCACTGTGTTGCAAAAACCACCAAAACAAAAAATCACTCAACACTAAACCTAAACCCGAAACAAACTCCAAAAAGCTGGTCCAGAATCTTCAACTCTGTCGGAGGCTTCACATCATTAGCCTTATCCTCAACACCATGTCCGCCCACCATTAACCTCTGAACCTCTACACTCCTTTCACTCTGAATGCTGCCAAGCCAGTAAAGACCATAACTCGCGAAGCACTGGCAGTCTCGCCTGTCCCTCCATCTGGCCCTTCCGCACCGGGATATCCGTGCAAAAGCCCCTGCAGTTTGCAGTCCACGGGATCTTAACCCTAAACCCTAAGGTCTTTAGAGCTTGAGGATGTTTCACGTGTTTGCCTTTATGTACCAGGTTGCCTCTAGCAGCAAGGAGCTTTGTTACCACGGTTTAGAGTTTAGGGTGAAGGAGCTGATCTATGTGCCTCGAAACCGATTGAGGAGCCTGGCAAGAAGCATCGATATCAATTGCTATCATTATTTCAACTCTACCGTTGTACCAAACAGACCAACTTTTCAAGTTAAGGACAGGCTACCTTTCCAAACCAAATCGTGCTTTTCAAATTTTGCCTGTTTGTGCATCCGTCAATTTCTACGTCTGCACGCGAGCACAAGCACGCACTCACGAATTCTTTGTGTTGTTTTTCTTCGGAACACCATGTGCCTCCGTCTAGGACTCTAGGAACAAAGACCCAATTAAAAACAAAAGCAAAACATTACCCCATAAACCCTAATGCTTAGACATCCTGCACTGCATCCTCACTGAATCATCCGAAGCCCCAACTCACGGAACACTAAGCCCGCTCCCACTTGTCTGTTGAAGTAGGTGAGGCAATGCCTCTTCTTAACAGTCTGTTGTAGTACCTCACCCCAGGAGCCGAAACTCCCTACACCCCGGAACCTTGCATCCTGAATCCCCAAACCATGCTTACCCATAGGCTCCTAAGTAGTTCCTTTTTGGGATTACCTCATAGATTCTAAATATGAACCACAAAAAGGAACTACTTAGGAGCCTATGGGTACTTATTTGTACGTAATTTTCAAGATCCTAAACCATGCATACATATTTGTAAACCCTAAACCCCTAAACCCTAAACCCAAAACCCCTAAACCCCAACCCCGTAAACCCATGTTCAAGATCCCTTGTCTAACGCTTTCCATCCCGGCCTGGTCCAGAACAGGCTCCGGTGGTTTGCGGTGCTGATATAGCTTATGGCCCGTCTGCTCACCAATGGCGGCCATCTGATTCCTGAGGGCTACGGCTAGGGTTTGTCGGAGTTTACGTTTTTTGAAATAAGCTTTAGAGGATTCAGGACCTATCTAGTAGGAAAGTAGGAGACGTCAGGGTTATGCGGATTCGGGATACCCGAGTGTTTGAACTCAACAGCTTCCCTTGTTCTCTTAAGCCGATGTCGGGACTGCTACGACAAGCTCGGCTCATTTTGCCCTGTTGCGAGAATTCGTCCACATGTGTGCTACCCTAAAGCCTAAACCCTAAATGGATCGAGATGTGTCGTAAAATGGGAATCCCGACCGATGGTTTAGGGTTTGGGGAGCAACAACAGAACATGAAACCTCACGACTTCGAAGCCTCCAACCTCCACTATATATGGGTCCATGTACCCTAATAGCGTGCATTTTGGCACCACAAGTACCTACATAGGGACTGCTTTAAGGCCAAAGTCTCTATTTGGGTACATGGACACTTAGAATTCTCATAAAGCAAAGCTCAGAAAAGCGTGCTAAAGGAGGCTAGGCGCAGCTGAATACGAACAATCAGCTCCTTGTCGCTGGTTGTCATGAGACCTACGTGCTGCCGCCCGGCCGGTTGCAGAAACCTGGTGCATTTGGGATTCCGAGTTTAGGCTTCCATGTCCAAGATACGTCGCTAAGGGACCTGACGACATCCCGAGGAAATTAGAGATACTGTTCATGATCGAAATCCTGCATTAACTTAAGGACCCTAAACTATGGGAGCTATGGTTTACTCCTTATTATGGGTAATCCAGGATTTATATCATCAACCGTATGGCACACCAAACTAAAACCTGTCTTAACCAAGGGCCCCCTGAAACAACCCAAGCACAAAATGGCATGGCCGGTACAGAGACTGACTTTCGGGCACGCCTCGGTACTCTTGCTCGGGCTTAAGCCTAGGTTACCGGTACCATGACTAGATAGAAAACTGATCGAGCTACAGCGTAAGGTTGAGGACTTAACGGAAGTTTTGCCCAACGCTGAACATCTTAGAATGTGGAGCCCTGCAATGATAACTAATCCAGTCTCCTGCTGTTGAACTTCAGAACATGCTCAAGCTCCTTGATGCTGACAGGACGCAACAGCTCACCTAAACACCTGAGCAGAACCTTGACCACGGAACACCAAACCCTCAGCGATGAAAACGCGATTCCACTACGTAACATCAGCCAGTGTGGGTTCGGACCTGCTATATGCTCCTTGGGGAAGCCTTCATTTGGCACTCGCATGCAACTGCCACAGCCTCTGCGGATCTTCGTCTGTGCTTTGCATGTATGCATGCATGCATGCATGCATGTATGTATGTATGCATATGTATGTATATATATATATATATATTGTATGTATATGTCTTTGTATGTATGCATGCATGTATGTATGTGTGCATGTATGCATGCATGTATGTTTGTCTGTATATACAGAAGACATAGATATAGCTACAGCCTCAGAGCAGGCGCACGGAACTCGACAGCAAAGAGCCATGAATTATTCAACCTTCGCACATTCCAGCCTAGAAACGACGCATCACCTCCAGAAAATGCGTCAAAAGTGGCTGCGGGCACTAACGGCGCGGGTGCCTAAATACACACACTCACCAGAACATACGTCTACAAAAACCACGATCCCAATCCTGAGTACATAATTCTTGGCTACTGTGGTCCCTGGGGAGCAGCAAGGACAGGAACGGCGAAATCCCCGGTCCAAGAAGCGGCTGAACATGAGCTTCCTCTGCGTGGCCCGCAAGGATAGCATCACGGTGCTGCCGAGTAAACGGGAAGATTCTCCTTAGACGGCATCCAAACTTTTCTTATGCATGTATAATATACATAAGACTGAGTATGTAAATGTGTGTATATCTATGGGCGATTATTTGTTTATGCATTTGTTGGTTCATACATATCCATATATTCATGTATTCATGTGTTTACATGCTTCACATATATATATATATATGTACACATGTATCATCAATAAATAAGCAAATAAACAAACAAGTAAATAAATAAATAAATAAATATATATATATATACATTTATACAGTGACATATCCAATATTTATATGTATGATCATACGTCTCTGTGTGCGTATGTATGAAATTATGCGCCGAGTTTTTCATCTTTTGAAATCTCCACTCATACTCTGTGTAAACTACACTTGCATATTTCAGGGCTAGGGATTTAGGCATAGGGGGGTGATAGGGGTACGGGTTTAAGGTCTAGGGCCAGGGGCCGGGTTGGGCTTTTGTGTTCCAGGGCCCCAGAGCTTCTAGGCTAGATGTTCTAGGTCTGGGCAACACTAGACGAGCAACGTGTGAGACATGCATGTTTCACTCCTGCTGTCTGTGAGGATCGTTGTCAGACAGAGTGCAACAATCTGATTTGTGATTTAAAATTCACATTGGTTTAGCTTTAGGAGGTGGCCTTGATGAGCGCTCAGATTTTTAGGAATGTGAACCAACTTTGGGCTGTATGGCATGCCTCCATAGAACTGCTCTCCTGCTCGAATCTCGAATGTCGCAGCATAACTTACTTGTCCGATATCCCAAGGGATTCAGTTGCTACTGTTTGGAACTATACAGTGATTATAGTGCCCCGAACTGGATAAAGGTTACCTGCCCGACTACTAAAATACTTCGATTTTGCCAGTCTGGAGCCATCCCAGAAGCCAAACTTTCCGTTCATAGAATACGGTCAAAGAAAGCCATGGCGTCCAGTACTGATTGATCCTTCACAGCAAGAAACCATCCTAACATCACCCAAAAGTGTGGGGTTGGAGGCTAAGGTTAAGAGCCTTAAACGGTTTTATTAGGCTCATTAAGTCTAGCCAGACCTTCCACGCCTCTTTACCTTGCGCGCTTCTGCCCCCACCCCCCGCCCAATTTGAATAGGATTCTCGGATATGAAACGTCCCAGCATCGATGGAACCGGATCTGTAGGAAGAGCCGGATCTTCTGCCGGCTCCTGATTTCCAAACGCGAAGAGTGGTCTCTGGGCTTATCTGGGCTTAGGGATACTTGTCCGGCTTTCTAGGGGAACTCACCTTTCATTTGGGAGTATACGGTAGGAGTTATATCAACCCAAAACGTTAGAGGCTACCTACTCCACCAATACGTAGGGTTTAGAGTTTCAGCGGGGTTAAATCAGTGTAACAGAATGCAACAGAATAAAGTACAGAGCCTGAATACTTTGCTGGATTGAAATGTTTTCTTACAGTGCTGCGCAAGGTAAATGAAGGCCCATAAGACACCGGGTAAATCCTGACTTTCATATCTACTCTGCTACTCCAGACAAGGTGTTCACAAGATTGCCAATCTGAAGCGGGGTCTGTTTCGGCCAAAGTCCAAAGCATTCTAATCAGAAAGGGGCCACAGATTCCTTAAACATCGTCACCTCGACGCTAGGTGGTCGGCGACAAACGGGTACTGTGGAACACAATGACTTTCGGTATCGCTGTCATCGCAACACAAACATCTTACGAAGTAGCCACGGCTCTCATGCACAAAGTGCTTCATGGTAAAAGTTCAGTTCCGAACCGCAAAGAAGTGTTGAGCAACAACGGCAGCAATGAGTCGCGGCAAATTAAGAAGTTTAAAGACACAGCGCACTCCAACATAAGAGGTACTCCTTTAGGAAGCACACCTCGTGCAAGGGCTCTTGCTCCCCTGGCACGGGAGGAGGGGCAGCTGGCACAGCGACCTCGGCACAAGCACTAGCAGCACTTGTTGAAAGGGTGTGTAGGGCAGTATCTGGAGCAAGACGTACATTGTCTGCCGCTGAAGCCCAACTAAAGTTTGCCCTGCAAGGCTGCGCCGACATGGGCGGAAGAATGTGAAGACCTCGGTTTGGTTTCAGTTTTGCTGCGCAAGCTGCTGGAGGTTGGGGTCGTGATGGCTCCTCTCGAGACTCCGGTGCCAGCTGTGGTCGTAAGCGGCTGTACATCAGCGGCATCTGCGGCGTGGTCCCCAAACCAGGCACCGGCCTCGTCCGGAAAGCGACAGAGCGTGAGACGCAGAGAGGGAAAACTGGCGAGAAACAGAGAAGGCAGTGGCCAGCACTATAAACAGTCTTGCCATGCCAGGAAAGCTCTACCACAAACGAGAGCACAACAACCGACACTCAATGTCAATGCAAAACCTTACAGCCATACCGCATTCACGGGCACCAAACCTCAAAAAAGCAGTGCTCTCAGGCGCCGAGATTCGGAGTGGTGCTCAAGCTCATGGCTTGCGGTCTCACCGGCCTCTCCCGATGATGCTGGGGACGTACCTGGCCCTGTCGCTGGGACTCCGCAGACATCATCTGAGCTTCTAGCTCTGTGACCGACATCACCTGAGATTACACATGCATGGAAAAAAGACGCAGAGACATACAACCCACCACACATACATAGACAAAGGCAGGTAAGGTATATTGTAACATCGAATCAACAAAGCCACTACAGTCTTCTTTCTCCTAGGTTTTTGAAGGATTAAACTTTGGGCCGTGGGTTTCCTGATTGGCGGCTGAGGCTGTAGGTATGGCGGACGCTTAGTCATGTGAGGGGCCTACGCTTTACGTATAGTCAAGATTTAACTCTAGACAAAACAAAACCTTTATCTGAAACAATCTCAATGACAGCCTTCTCTGAAAAAAAAAACCTTGTATTTACAGCCCACTGCAGGAATCAGTCACTTTCGGCTGCGCCGGCCGTGGTGGCGTCGCTTGCGCTGCAGGTAAATTGACTCCCTGCAGGCCCTGCATTGCAACAAAAGAAGAAGGGGGCTACCTTATTTTGGGGTCCTTATAATAAGGATCCTACCTACTTAGGGTATTATATTAGGGTCCCCTATTTTCCGAAACCCCCATATGGCTTTCCCTAAGGGAGTCAGCAGCTTTCTGAGCTCGGGCTGGGAGTGAAACCCACATGGGAGTTTCCGACATAGGGGGTACCTTAACTTGGGGTCCTTA